GATGTAATTCATGTTCATTTTGACATTTTGCTTGAGAAGTTTGTGGGTTTGAATTCAATTTCCATTTCTCTGAAATTTCTAAAATTCTTTTGAATAGCTTTTTTTCTCCCTCACATAGCAACTTTCATAATTAACCCTATTCCCTAAAACCATAATTTTTCAAACATTCCAATTACTTATTTTATGAGACACTGCATTTCAAACACATTCTTAATAATTCAGAAATACTTTCTCAGCTTTATCAACTTTATTAGTCAAAGGTTTAATTGCATTCTGACCTTTTTTAATTCAGTAACATATATTTAAAATTGGAAGTACTTTTCAGACCTGAACTGTTAGCTTTTACTATTAGCAGCTTCATATGAGATTGTGCAAAAGAATATATTACTACTTTTTGAAATAATATTGAGATATACATGGGCTAAAAGAGAACCGCAGGGTCCCATATAAGTAGCAAAGGGCTTATTAATACTTTAACACATTCTTTTTCTAAAAAGTTCACTTTTTACTATTGCATAAGTCTAAATTAAGAACAATTTATGTTCCAAACTTTTCATACACATCAGAAACGCATTTTCAAACCACACCATTATTCTCTGTTAGCAGACAAAAACAAATGCTTCAAATTTGGAAAGACCCTTGAACATTTATTGAATAATTCAACCACAGAAGTTGCTTATTTCTAGATCTCAAATGCTATTGCTTTATCAAAAAATATGAATATTCTATATTTGCAGCAATTTTAAGGCACCAGTAACTATACAGTTCTATTTAATGACCATGGAGGGATCATCAAAACAAAGGATTTAAATTAGGTATTAACATATTGCAATGAGTGTATAGAATTTAGCAAAGAATTCACTGACTGGTACTAGATCCCCTAAATGGGGATGAAAAGTCTTGAATTAATTTTGTATGAATTCTTTAACTGTAGACAAAACCAGAAATTTGTGTAGTGAGTTACAAAGTTGGTGGGTTTCTTTTCACAGACATAATTAATGTGTCATTCTTTATAGTCAACTTTTTAAAATGACAAAAGGACAACTTTTTTCCAGTTTTGAAAACAAAGCTTAGGAACAGCAAGACAGTCACACTGTCTTCTTGCAGAAATAAATGTGATGATAGCCTCTAACAGCAGATAAGTTTAATTTGGTATTATCCTAGCTTTTAAAATTCTTTCTTTTAGTCTGGATGTTATTCTTTAAAACCAAGTTCAATTTCCTGCTTTTGTATATAATGATATATATTTTGTAATTGTAATTTATCTGTTCATATATTTTCTTCCATTAGGTCGAAACAGATTTATTTCAACTTGCAATAATAGTAAAACTTAGCAACCAGAATGCCAGTGTTTTAGGAGTAGTTAATGAGATGCCTTTCTAAACTTAAGACTTAGTCTGAGAATTCACACAGAAGACACATTGTGCCTTAATTATCTCGTAGTGAGATTTAATTTGCTTTGGTCTGTTTTTTAAGAAAAGACATCATGGTAAACACCATGATTTATCTTCACAGTTTAATCTTGTCTATGCTTAAGATTAATTTGAAGTAAGAATACCTCTTGTTAAATTTAATGCATTTTGGAAATAATTAAGCTAAACAAAAACAAGGTACTACTATTTCAGAATTAAAGATTCCACACATGCAGTTATTTAGAAATAGTTCTGAATAGTTTAGATCTTATATTTTTATATCTTATCTAGGTCTACAACCATTGTTATATGTAGCCAGCCTTTACAGGACATTAATCATGGGCTTAAAATTAGGAATATGCAGAACTGCAATTAATCGAGTCATTTGTGCATATTTATGTTTTTGGTACATTTTAACATGATTCATGGATATTAAAACATTTCAGATTCTTCTGTTTTAGCTGTAAATGGCTGTTTTGTCCACAGAATTACAAGATAGTGAGCAAGAGTTCAAAGTATTTAAAAAAAAAAAAAAGTTATGTCTGACAATTAGATTATTTTGTTTTGTTTCAGCAATTATAGAAAACAAAGAAACAAACAAAAAACAACTGTATTTTGCAGGAAAAATCCTGCAGTATTTTCCCTTGTCTGAGCAAATCATGTTTCAGAGACCCTCTCCCATTTTCTCTTATGCACCACTTGGTAGGCAAACTAACAAAAGTGAAATGAACCATGATATACGTTACAACTAAACAGAGAAAAAAAAACCCTTTCACAATAAAACATTGATATTATGCAGTTTAGCAGGATTTGACATATCAGTGTTAACATTTATTTTTTCTTTTTATCCTTCAGGCAAATAAATATCATTCAGTAAAGATTTTACAGAACATTTTTGCCAAGACACATTTAATAACCAAAATATTTTTTCATGTTCATTAATTTAAGCAGTATTGTGTAAAATATGTTTCAAAAAAAATTACCTATTTAATCAGATTTACAAATAAATATGACAAACTGATAAAAATTAACCTTTAGATCTATGCTGGGTATTTTGACTATTCGCACAGCCTTAAAACAAGTGGAAAATACAGACCTTACTTTAGCTGCACCTTTAAATATTAGCTAATGATGAACAACATTCTCACCCTTTTGCAGTGGTGGGCAGCCTCTAAGACTTCAGAAGCTAATGATAGCTTGAACTAGAAAACTACTCGCCCGCTTCCTCTACTTAAACTGCACAATAATCAATGATGGTTGCATGCCAAATTAAACAACAGCCTCAAGTAATTCTACTACTTCAGTATTGTTTTCTTGAGTGCCTGCCACAGAACTTAGTCTGGATTGATTTGTGACTAAATCAAGTGGCATGGAATAAGGGAAATAAGGTTGGACCCCACCATGTGTTAATGAAAAGTTGAACAGTCTGCTACTATGTTGCCTTCTGGAAGCTGAAGTACTGACAATTTGTTTTGAGAGAAAGGATTAACAGCAATAGCAAACCCAACCCAGGACATCTCAGTCCTGCACTGCACCCAGCTACATGCCAATGTTTTACTGTGGTAGGTGGTAGCTAGGGAGACATTAGGTCTAAAAGGTTGCAAATTGTGTTAACAAAAAATACATGCTGGATTTTTGACTAGAGAATCTTCTACTGTGACTGTCTTAAGGTATTATGTTTTCAAACAATTCAAACTGTCTGGTACAGGGAGCAAATGTGTACTCTAGACATTCAGCTGTGGTCAGAAGGTGTGTAGACAGCAAATTAGCAAGATGTCATAGAATCATAGAATGTCTCTAGTTGGAAAGGACCCATAAGGATTGTTGACTCCAACTCCCTTTTCCTTGCAGGACTACTTAAAACTAAATCATACGACTAAGGGTGTTGTCGAGATGCTCCTTGAATTCTGACAGGCTTGGTGCTGTGACTACCTCCCTGAGGAATCTGTTCCCCGGTGACCAACTACCATCTCAGTGAAGAACTTGTTCCTAATGCCCCATCTGAACTTCCCCTGATGTATCTTCATTATATTTCCTCATGTTCTAAGTCAACTAAGCAGTCACTAGCACCATTTGGTGGAATGCAGTCCTTATGATGGAAGAATATGCATCAAATAGCAATCAAAATAAGGTAAATTGTCTGTACCTCTCAGTCTGATCTTGAGAAATTAGAAGTTACAATACCTCAAAATAAAAACTAAATTCTGCAGATTTTTTGCAGTTGCTTGCAGATCAGCTTACCTGGTGATGAAAGATTAGAACGCAGACTTATGTTGTAGGCCTGTGATTTTTAGTCCAGAAAGGGCATTTCTAGGCTCACTTCAAGACCAGTTTTCTGGAATCTCATTCCGATCATGGGTAAAGTCTTATTGAATAGAGATTCCTTTTGCTACAAGAACTACTAATTGTTTCTTGTGCTGATTTAACACCACTCTAGGCAAGAAAATAGCAGCATAATTCTCTCTTCTATACTTCAATAAGCAAAAAAGCTCCCTTAAAATCTAGTTACTAACACATTATATAGTACCCCTTGCCACACTACAGGTCTAATCCTGTTGGCTTCATCAGGAGTAGGATCAGCTGTAAGACTTCAAAATCCCTCCTTTTTGTGTTCAGTTATAATAGCTATACATTTAATATCGGTATCATGTTCTTGACATGAACAATTTAAAACATTCTATAAATATGACATAGTTTTTTCATGCATCATGTTCATTTCCTGTAACTATCCCTGCTTCCAGCAAAATCTTATTCCAGTCCAATAAATAACATTAAAAAAAAAAAAAAAAGGCAATTCATGGTAACCAAAATAATTAAATAGTAGGAGCAGGTTAAAGATCAGCATTCATTTTTCAAATTAAATCTAAAAGTCTGCAGTAGTTACTTGGAAGATTGGCAAGTTTTACAAATAACATCACCAAGCCTTTTAGAGAGAAACACAGCCACATTAGAATGGAGTCATTAGGCAATACATTTATTTTGAAGCCAATTAACCTTTTGTCAGAGAAATGTCGGAGCTGTAATGGTTTCAGCAGTGGAGGTCAGCCTGTAACAGAGGCACGTATGACAGTGATTACGCTGTCTGACATATGTCGTAGCCTGAGAGTGCAGCTGCAGAATGAGAATCTGCCTTCGTTTGTATTCTGCTCTGCATTTTCAGGGAGCAGACAATCTTGACCTATCCATTTAGGTAATTAAAGCTTCTATTTGGAAGTGTCCTGCAGGAAGGTGAAATCTGGGGGAGATAAATGGCTGCTGCTCGCTGTATCCAGTCACTTCCATCATTTGATGGACTGCCTGAAACAGGCTGCATTGCCAGGTCCTCATAAAAATAGAGACGGATTGGGCAGGAGACAACTCTCTAAGGCAAAGCAACTCTGTCATCTTCCTTTTTGCAGCATATAATTTAATTGTTAGCCAAGGTAGACAGCTGACTCAGGGGCCTTTCTCTAATGGCTTGCCTACCATCTTCCATTTGTGAAGAAATTACTTCAGTTTATTTACTTAGGAGTTAACTTTGTTTGACAATGAGAGATGTCACTTCAAAAAGCTCAGCTGGCTCTCACGGCCATGCCATCCCTGACTTACCTTCCAGGCGATTTTGTTTCCCTTAGTATCATGCTCAAGGGCAATCGGGAAGTCTCCCCGCTCATAAAACTTGCGGAAAGCTGTGGGCTTCGTTGGTCGTTCTTTAAATGCTCCTGCAAGAGGGGGCCCTCTTACCTTTAAAAATGAAAAGTAAATAAAACAAAAACCAACATAGTTCAGTGGTAATATATTTTTAGAAAAAGCCTAATTTATGTGGCTCAAAATAGATACAAAAGAAGAAGAATATTGATCTCCCAGATTATAGTTTGCTTTCCTCTTTACATGTTATACCTCACTACTTTGAAGGTAAAATTTGGCAACAATCTACAAGTTTTGTTAATTGCTTTTTTTCCCTGTTACTACTTTCATATTGCCCCATAAAACCTGTTCATATTTCAAAGTAGCTATCTCCATTGCCATAGCATTTTAAAGCAAGAATAAACCACCAAGAGCATACCGACATTGTGTAGTAGACGATATTGGAAAATTAAGCATTTCTCCTTTTTTTGTTAGTTTCTTTCTAGAAGACATTTAACTTGATTTCCACCTAATATAACTGTCCTTACCCTCCATCATCTTTCCCTGGCCATTACCTTTTCTCCTTCACCACCCCCCTTCCTCAAACACTGTAGATCTGGCTTTAATATGACTTCCAGCACTTCAGTACTGATGGCTGAAGCACTAGAAGAAACAAAGGAAAGCCAAAGGAAACAAAGGGAGTCAGATCTTCCCTCTCTGCCCATGAAGAAATTTTATTTAGCTCCACTTAGTTCCTCATCTGAGTTACTGGTGGTTAGTATATTGTACAGCCTAAGTGCCTGAATGATAGTCCAGTTGCAAAATGCTCATGCTGGTACTTTTTTCTCAGCCAAACATAGCAGTAACAGCAACTAACAATTGGCACTAAAATAATAGCATTTCAAGGACTTACAAGAAATCAATTGTTTGAGCTAATTAACAAAGCTAATCTCAAATGTTAAAAGAGACTAAGAGAGCTAAACTAATCTCAAGTGTCCTTGACAACTAATTCTTCCCTGAGAAGCTCTTTTTTTTTTTTTTTAAATAGCCATACATCTGGAAAAAAACTTCCTATAACTCTGTATTTCTTTTGTCAAAAATGCCTTTATGACTTGCTGCCATTTATAACATAGAAAGTGTCATTTTCAAAAAAAGGTGAGAGTTTCAAGGGTCGTAAATCATAGCCAGTGTTTTGTTTTGATCTGTTTGTCTCTCTGTCTTCAGTGACCCTTACGTTAGTTTCTAGAAGTACAGACATCCAGTTTTCCAGTGAACGGAATGCAAACGTGTAACACCCTTTGCTTCAGTTGTGCTGTTCTGTCATGTAACTGTGCTAACTACAGATCTAGATCTGACTCCGCATGTTTTTCTGACATCGTGTTCCACTGGCTGAGGTAGAGGGGTCCACCAGTGATATGCCAACACTGTAATGCTGTACAATAATTTTTTGAAACTAGGGCTACTAAACGGTGACTTATTGTCGCCTGTTGCTGTCACTGATAGACCACATCCAGTGAGAGCAGATTTGATATCCATAGCTGTAACTTTGCTTAGTAAACACATCTGCAGCAGTTGAGCGTAATACTCCAAGAAAAGCATTTCTACCCAGTGTAAATAAATCTACACTTACTGTTCTGCAGAGGAACATTTTTTTTTTTATTTCAGGCAAGCCACTAGAAAAGCATCTATGCTCGTTTTGTATTTTTCACACACAGGACCTACACATGTCCTTTAAAACATTATTTTCTGTACAATATTAGAAGTCACTGTTCTACTAAATTTTAACTTAAATTATTGATAAAGAATATGTTGTCTTGATCAGATGAGATACAATCCTAATTATTTCTTAATTATTTATATCATCATTAGAGGTAACTAATGGAATCCCAAATCACATCTTATTTGAAACCAAGCTTTTCTTCTTCCCAACTCACATTAGTAAATTTAGTGTGGACTTTTTTTCTACTGCACCTTTGCAAATTTTCTAGAAAATATGTTTGTGTCACTTCAACTTTTTCCTGCTCTTTAATCAGGAACAAAGACACTAGAAGGACTAAAAGATCTTGGTTATAAAATCCATTCTGTTGTGCATTATTCTTACTTCAGTGTTCAGAAACCACATCTTAAATACGTGGTTATTAAAAATCTTAACTCTTATATATGCCTACTTTGATCTGCCACCTCAAAAAAAGATATGGTAGAATGAGAAAAGGTTTCGGGGAGGATAATGACTGAGGATATGGAATGGCTTTCACAAGAAAAGGATAAACTAGGAAAATGATGATTGAGGAGGAATAAAATAAAGATCTTTGAAATCATGACTTCATGGAGAAGATGAATAAGGATAGATTTTCCACTGTCTCCTTCAGTAAAAGTACAGGACATCAAAAAATCAGGAAAGTGACAAGTTTGGAACAAACAGAACTAGTTATATATTCATGCATAGTGGATTTACAGAACTCCTTGCCAAAGTCAGTGTTGAGAACACTGAAAGTTTCTGTACATTCAAGCTGTGACTGGAAAAGTTAATGAAAGAGAAATTAATTCATATTTACTAAATCCACATTATCAGTGATCAGAAATAAAATGAGTATTATCTTTTCATATGATACAGTCTGGCTGGTACATCTTCTAGCATTACATTTAGTCTCTCAAGGCCACATCACACTAACATCTCAGCAATCCTTTGATTAACTGCCACAGCAACTATCTTTTCCAGCTGATGGGCTGGAAAAACGTTAATATCAGAATTTCTTTTCATTAAAGTGCATTATCTGTATGTTGTACTATCATATTTAATTCCATTTCCGTTACACCTGTTCTCATGAGCTTCCACTTCCATGTCTGTGACACTGTGATCTTCATCTGTAAAAATAACTCCAAATGTCAACTATAAATTTCATTATAAAATCCTGATTTTTTTTTTTCTCAAGATCATTAATTAAATAAGGTTAGCTGTGAAGCCACTTCTTAAGATTTGGTTGGTAAATTGGTGGTCGTGTTGTTTAAATTAAATTGATGTTGTTTCCCCAGGTTGAGTCTGTTTTCTGCCTGTGACCATAACAGGTGAGTGAGCCTTCCTTGTCCTTGCCTCAAGCCTTTTGTTACATTTCCTCCTCGCCATCCCAACAGGGTCGGGGAGCGAGTGAGGGGCTGCATGGTGTTTACTTGCTGGCTGGGCCAAAATCACAACTTATCCATCTCACAGATTTCATAATTCTTGTACTGTATGACTAGCAAAGTAGTGTGTATAACTAGAGAAGCTGAAAATAATCTACAGAGACTGTTGTTTTTCCCTTTGTCTTAGGTATGTTTTCCTTGTCAGTTTGCTCTGAAATAGCCATAGAGATCTTTCAAATGCCAGGAAGAACAACTGACTCCAAAGCAATGAAACAATCTAGACAGGAATGAGCCTAAGATTTGTTTAGAACAAAGAATTATCAATGATCAGGAACACAGTGGGACTTTTCCTGCACTGAAGAAAAGTCACTCACGTGACTGAAGATTACTGTTGCTCTGCTTGAAGTTTATTACATGGAGACCACTTGTTCCATTTGTTTGCATCTGATAAAAGTAGATTATGAGATATTTGCTAGAGTGGCTGCACTGAGCTAATACTGTTTACCTTTTGCAAATAGTTTCCTTTCCTTCCTATCTGTATTACAAGGGAGACCATCACTATAATATTCAGTATTCTGAACACTGTTCTCTAATGCAGACCTCTCTTTGGGTCATCATGGCCATGTAGCTTCAGCAATCTGCCTAAGGACAAGTATATATCTAGAACTTATCTTTTTATTTCTTATAATTCCTGATCTATTTTGGTTTATACTTTTATATTCCTATACTTAGATTTTAATTAGTGCTTCTTGAGACCAGACTTCTTTCTGTTTTCTATTTACAGGTTATCATAATGCCAGAATGTCAGTCACAGATTCAGATCCACTGTTATATAAATGTAATAAAAGAACAAAACCTAAAATCTGGAACAGAGTATACACAGTGAGAAGTCATCTCAAAATCTTTAGGCCAGTCAAGTTGTCCAGGAAACAAAGTCAACTTCACTTGTTTTTTTTGTTTTTCATACAGAAGATATGTTTCCCACAACAGAAAACTTGAAGTCTTTCCTAATACCTGAATGATCATTCTTAGTAGTGCTTTCCCTCATGCAGATCAGCATTTTTCCATGTACAACTCATTAGGATCTTCCTAGCTGTAATGGCACAGTTTCTGAAGACACATCTGATCCATAATTTCAGAAAGTAGAAATCAGAGGGTTAATACGTATTGATCCTGGGTGACAGTTGAAATAATCAGATTTACCAAGCTGCTCCCATAAATTATGCTTTTCAAAATCCTAGAAAAATGCTATGACTTGAACTTTCAGGGTAAGACTAACGTGCTTTTACTGGCTTATGGGCAGCTGGTCACAACGGGAGTTCCTGAAGGTTGGTATCAAGCCCGATGCTGTTTAACATCTTTATAAAGGATGTGGATGGCAGAACTAAATGCTTGTTTACCAAGTTTGTGGATCGCACCAAACTGGGAGAAGAGCTACTATACACCAAAAGGAATAGCCACCATGCAGAGAAAAAAAAATCTAAGATCTAGTTTTCAACAGAAGGCTGGACCACATGATGTCCAGAACTTCCTCTCATCTGAGTCTTCTCTGTGATGTTATGTTGCTAAGTAAAACATAAAAGAAGAAATCACACAACGCTTTTCTTTGTGATGATTTTTGTCTTCTTACATTTTATATTGTTATTACTGACTAAAAAGGTCACTCAAAGTATTCCATTTATTGGAAAAATGGTAACAAATACTATCTTCCTTCCACAAAATAGAAAGAATAAGAGTTCCAGTTAATTAAAGACTAATATTCATGATAGCAAACTATATGAAGCAATAAACAGCTTCTGAGGTTTGTTAAATGCCAAAGAGAAGATAAAGAGTTTGATAATTACAAAACTAATTTATTGTAATTCTGTGCCATTGAACTATGTGACAAAATAAAAGATACAAGCCATTAAATGAAAAAAAAAAAAAAATTTTTTCTTTCATTGACACATAGGCATTTAAAACCATTGTATCAAGTTCCATTCTTAGACTTTTCAGTGATGGCACATTAGGGAAATGACTAAGAAAAATTATTTGAAGCCAGTTTTAAACAGTGATTATTTGAAGATTGAATTTTTCAAATGTCACAACTGAGCATCAGATGGTTTGCATACCTGGGGACCTCAACACATACTTGCATGTGGCAGCTGGTCATTTTCAGGAAAACTAACACTAGTTTCATGAGCAGTTTAAGCCAGAGAAAAACTGACACTGACATAAAGGTAAGTGGTCTTTCCCAGCTCATGTGCCTGTGTGCTAGCACAAAGTACTGCCCTCCATTAATGACAGAACCTTTAATGCAGGTATTCCAAGGACCAGATCAGGAAC